TTCCCTACTTTCTGGTTACCTTGTCTGCTTTGACAACCAAGCTCTCTGAATCCAAAACACGCTATTGTTTGTGATCTGCACTGAGTCTCAGCATAGTACAGCTCTAACCATGGTGATAAGCTAGGTGTTGGTATGTTAAGTATAACTGATTAATAACCAGACTTACAGGGCTAAGGAAGTTCTCAAAGGAATGTCAAACTTAATTACTTAGCCCCAAAGCAAGGACAGCCTGTACCTATTCCAGGGGTGTTCTGGTACTGTTGGTTTACTTTCAGAATAATTTCTGTAGTCTTTAACCAAAATCTTCCTTACTACAGTTTAAACTTATAGCATCTTGTCGTATTCATCATGGGCACAAGGAACAAATTACTTCTTTCCTCTTCCTGTCTGCAGCAGCCTTTTCTGAATTTGAAGGCTGTTACCACATGCCCTCTCCTGGCTTCTCTTCTTTAGTCCAGACAATCCTGATAGGCGTAGTATGTCATAGTCTTTAGGGCTATGATTGTTTTTATTGTTCTCTGGATTCTGCCTGGTTGTCCTCCATATTTTCGTCGGGGCGTGTGCAGCTGGCATCATGCTCCAGCTTAGTATGCCAGGGTGAAATCTCATAGTAAAAGATGATGTAGCCAGCTAGAGCATGGTGGAGACAGTAGGAAGGAGGCTGAGTCTTGAATGTTTTGGTCTTAAACATAATCTTTTTTTGTGTGTCAATATTGTCAACATCCTGGTAGAGACCAAGCATCTGTAGTTTTTACAGTTAACATTCATTTTAGAAGGAGGTATGGAGAGAATACAGGGAGCTTCATTTTCATCTGAATTGGCTTCTCCAAGTTGTCATGGCTTTTACCTCCTTTAAGCGTGAACATGACTTTTTGCCTTCCAATGGTAGCTTTAATCTGTTGCAGTAAGAAATACTCCTACCTTTTTCCCCTGCCATCCACTTATACACATTTATATCTCTTTGTATTTTGATTGTGAAGCGTTCAGGATGTGGCCTGTCTTTTATTTGTATTCAGTCCTGTATATTCTTGCCTTTGTGTTGCAAGTGTAATAGAAATAGCTATTATTGTGTAAAACATGTGCCTCTGCAGATATGCTTTAAAAATGAATCATTTATTAACTAGCACACCTTTATTAGGTAGCACGGATGATGCTTTTTTAATCTGAACAAACTTCGGAAGAAGGAGGGAAAAAAGGCAAATTCATGAGAGAAAAGATCCAATTGGGGAGTGAAGGGTGTGGGAGTTGAAGGCCTTTTTCTCCTTTTGTAAGAAAAGGGGCTGGTGATTGCAAGAAAAGGGCTCGGAATTCTTTAGAAAATCCAAGGATAGTCTTGAAATGTTATGGCTGAGGCAATCTAAAGAGCAACTGCTGGTGGGGGAAAAAAACATGCTCCTTTTCTCCTTTATTCTTCACTGACGCCAAATTTGGCATTTACATGACCCTGCAAAGAATCGGTCTGAGGAGATAAACTGGCAAGAAATTATCAGGAAAAAAAGAATAGGTTTTGCTGGCTTAGCTGCCCAACATAACATGTGGTGGGATCAGGCAAACTCCAGAAGTGGTGCATGGGAGGTGGCGAGAATACAGGGCAGGTAAGGCACTCCCCATTCGATTGACTTGGATGTAGCCTGAAACTGCAGCTGAAGAGATCAAGTGATAGATGCAGCTGTGTCAAACAGCTTTTATGAAGTGCCAAACAAGAACGTTCTCCTGTGAGTGGTTAAAGTGATTAATAGGCAATTGCTCCCCAAGGCTAAGGATGGAAAATAAACCTTTCAGACAGTCATGAAACTGTGCTGGCTTTGTAATTAAGTTACTGTCTGCAATACAGTGGACACACTCAGATAATGGAGGGGCAGGTGTGTTGCACATCAAAGTGTGTTTCAGCCATTTCCAAGACTCACAGAGACAGGACTGCTAGGCTGCTTGTAAAATGCTGAAACAATAAACAGTAAAAATAACCTACTGACAGCCTGATGACATAATGAAGTGTTCACTCTCTTCAGATGATATTAACTCCTTTTGATAGCAGTTGATAGCTGTTATTATTAATGAGCAGGTAGTAATTTAAGCAGGGCTATTCTGCAGCATAAGACAGATGTCTCTGGTATTTTCCTGATGCATGAATTCTTAATTCTCTCTGAATTATAAACCATACAGGCCAGGAATTATGTCCTTTAGTATAATACGAAGCATGCTGTCAGCACTTTAAGAGTTTAACGTCGTTTCTTGACAAAGGCTTTCAAAAGTTTCCTTTGGCATATTTTGGTTAGCAGGGGGAAGAAAGAAATGCTTCTGAAGTCTTAAAATCAGGTTTGAAAGATGATTTCTTAGTATTACTGTTTTTTATTTTTCTAGTGTATACAAATTCCAGGGTCCGCTGCAGCAAATTGCCAGCAAAGCTGCTCGGCAAGTCTTACTGCTCCAGGCTACAGCAAGCTAAGGAAGGGATTAAGGCAAAGGTAGGTGTTTGACATCTCATACCTCAGAGGTGACCTCACTTTCCAAGCCCGCAGCATCTTGAAGCTGTAGAGCCCATGGGTGATGCTATGTTAAACAGAGAAGTGAGATCAGCCAACTAAAAGTTCCGCTTTGCTTTGGTTGCTCTGGGCAGGATGTCGGAGCTGAGCGATGAAGCCAGTGAGTCGGAGCTGCTGAGCCGCAGCCTTTCTATGTGGCATGGGGTCGGTCAGATGATCTGTCGAGAGGAACTGGATGTTCCCTTGGACTTGCATACAGCCTCCTCCATCGGCCAATATGAAGTGGTACAGGAGTGTATTCAATGGTAAGGAGGGTTGGAGAGGGTGCAGGTCTATTCTTATTTAATTCCACTCATGTTTTCTCGCTGGCTGTCGTTCCAGTCTGTCTAACACTGGGACAAGGGCACATCATTGGAACTTTTGCAGTGTTTTTGGGCACAATGTTGGGCACAAGGTTGGAAAGGACAGGTCTTCTGGTGAAAATTATCACCTCAGTTATTGGGTGAAATTGTTCTAGAGCTGATACGAATTCCCATGTGGACAAGACTTCGGTGCTAGAATTTTTTTAACCTTTCAGTGCAGTGATGGTAGCAAGAGGGTACAGGAACCTACTGTGATCTACAGCTCCAGGCCAGTGCTTCAGCGGAATTCTTTTCTTTGTTATTTAGTGGAGAACTGGATTTAAATAAGAGGAACTGTGGTGGCTGGACGCCACTGATGTATGCCTCCTACATTGGTCATGACACCATTGTGCATCTGCTGCTGGAAGCAGGAGTGAATGTGAACATCCCAACACCAGAAGGGCAGACACCGCTCATGCTGGCCTCCAGCTGTGGAAATGAAAGTGTTGCTTATTTCCTTCTGCAGGTGCGTATCCAGTAATAAATAGGTAAAGCCACCACTACATGGTTTACATCTACAAAGAGTAGGGTTCTCCATCACTTATGACCAAGCTACAGTTTTTGCTCTGTTGTGAGTTCAGCTTCCTGACAGGGATTTAAACTTTCTTGGTATCACAGCACAGAAGGGATGCAGTAAAGAACATTCTCTGTTCTCTTGAAGCAAGGCGCAGAGCTGGAGATGAAGGATATTCATGGCTGGACAGCCTTATTTCACTGTACCAGTGCTGGACATCAGCAGATGGTGAAGTTCTTACTGGATAATGGGGCAAATGCCAACTGCAAGTAAGGAGGAATTCATCTCCAAAACATGTCTGTAATATTTCAAGTATGCATCCTCTTTGATTCCAGCCCATGTGGATGTGTTCTTTCTCTCTGTCTCTCTCTAGGGAGCCTGTGTATGGATATACTCCTCTGATGGAAGCAGCTGCTGCTGGCCATGAGATAATTGTTCAGTATCTTCTCAATCATGTAAGTGTCTGGCGGTTCTCTGTAAAGCTGAAAATCTGTGATTCCAGGCCTCAGCGAGGGAAAAACTGGGTGTTTGATGCCGGATTTCTTAGTGTTATGTTTAGTTCTTGATGAGTCACCTCTGAAGACCCAAGCTTCCAGAATTGCTCTGGAAGCGTATTTTCAGAAGGCTAGTGCCCTGATTGTACACTGGCTTTGCATGAATAGAAGTGAGATCTAACTGTCCAGAGTTGACTAAATAATGACTAAATTGGTAAACAACTAATGCAGTTACCCCTGTGTTGTGTTTATAGGCTTGTGTGCTCTTGCTAGTGGGCATCTTGTGCCCTCTGTCCTAAAGCTTATGGACGCTCATGTCTCTTGAGGTTAAATAGCGCCTTTTTAATATCCCATTTAATTGGTCCAGCTTATTTCCAGAAGGAAGCAGCAAGGCAAAAACATATTTTGGATAAAATGGACTAGTTCCCTGTGGCAATGCACAAAAGCAAAATACCTGGGCAAATTGGCATTCCAGGACTGGAGACACTAGCTAATCAGGAAAGCAGCAAGGGATTAGTTAGTGGAGCTTGAACTGTATATCAAAGATGAGCCTGTATTTCTCATGGGTTTAGAGGAAATAAGACAAGTCTTTGGCTCCCTTGAATTTTATACATACTTCCCCTTGCTATATACATGGTGTACGTGTTTCTTTTTCTATAGGGAGTAAAAGCAGATGTGAGAGATAACACGGGAGCTACAGCACGAACCCTGGCCATGAAGTATGGACATATGAAGATTGTGGGGCTGATAGACTTGCATACAGCCCCAGTGCCCAAAGTCTTCTGCAGGGGTCCAGGTAACAGAAGAATGGTTTGGCTCATGCATCTTTAGAGAGAGCCTGAAGAGAAGTGCTTGTTGTTTTGAAAGCATGTAATTACTTGTGTAGGGGTAGTATTAGCTGATCTGCCCTGGAAGTTGCAGTACTTCTGAGAATGAAACAAGCATGGCAATTTTGGTCTGCTGACCCCTTTCTGACCTAGTTAACCTATGTTTCACCCTCTCTTTTAACATTTCCTTTTTTTTTTTTTTCTCTCTGTCTGTTTGTTTTTACAGGACTAGTAGCAAATAAAGCAGATAAATGAATTAACGTGCCGCTAACAGTTTTTGTTTTGACCACAGGAAAATATGACGATCTCAGTTCCTCAGATGAATCATGTTCTGCTCCCCAGAGACAGAGACCTGTTCGTAGGACCAAGGGTCCCAGCATCCATGAGGGGCCCCAAGCTTTGGCTAAGATAACAGCAGTTGGAATCGGGGGAAAGAAGCATTCTCGTTATGGTGAGAAAAGTTAAAATCTAAACCAACAGTTCTTTTTGATCTCTTAAGTACTCTGCAGCTATTTCTGTGCTTTTTTGGGGGGGGGAGGGCGGGGGGGGTTCCTGTGTGGCTTGTACAGGAAAAAGGTAGCAAAAACACTCTCCTACAGGGCTATACAATCTCTGGTTTAAAAATAAAACATCTGAACTTTCTTGTCAGAGCTGGATATTGATGAGTGCTTCACTTATCAGTGGAACAAATGCTGCTGTTAGCTTAGTCACTGCTTAGCCCTGACTCTTAAACGGTCCAAGTTCCTTTTCTGAGGTAGATTTAAAAGTTTGAGAGCAGTTCCTAAGCTGATGATGGAGTAAGCAGTTACACAGGCCAAGATATCATTGATAGTGAAAGGGAACTCACTGTTCCTAGACCTGTCAGTTTTTTCTTCAGTGACACCTGAAATACTCACTACTAAAAATGAGATTAAGACCTGTGTAACAGGCAAGGAGAAAGGTGGTCCTAGTTTAGACATAAACCACTAGATACAATGGTATGAGTTTTGCTGTGTGTCCATGACCACAGGTACTCAAGTTCATTACGTTGTTGTCTAGAATAGCTAAGAACGTGGGGCTTAGAAGCGTATGTAATGTTTGGCTAATTCTCTTAGCACAGATACACGCTACCCAAGGATAGCGACTGTACCAAAATAGTACTGCCAGCTTCTGATATCATAGTAGGCTGCTACCAGTGTATTAACATAGATGCAAAAGGGTTGCTTTTACGGGATGTGCTTAGCTGGCTGGGGCGGGGTGCAGTCTGCACTTTGCCCTATTGAGCAGGTGGTTTTTCTCCTTGATAGTCCAGGAGTAAAGAGGGGAGGAAATGCTGAAAGCTCTGTAAGTAAGGTGCATCTCTGCCACAAGGCTGTTTCCCTGTGACTTTTCAGTTGTACCATCTAGATAAGTACATTTGGTGTGTGTTTGTGTGAGGGTTTGTAGGTGTATGTGTTTCTCAGTTTTTTGTTTGTGTGTTTTGTTTTGTTTTTTTGTGTGTGTGCGCCATTTAAATGGGACCTGCTGGTTGAAAGTACAGTCCGTCCTTTGGATTCTTTTCAAATCCCCGAGTGGTTGCTAGTGGTTGCCCTTCTTCTTGCTAGAGCCTCCCTGGTAACTTGCATCCTAATTTCTTTGCTTGTTCTCCCCTTCTCTTGCACACAGAGCAGGTCCCTCTACAGGGCTACGTTACATTCAATGATGATGGCAGCTGTGAAGCGGATGATATCCGGAACCGGGATGTTACCTCTCCAATCAATGAGCAGGATGTAGAGAGCAGCAGCAGCAGGGGTAAGTCAGTGTCTCAAGAAAGAACCTGACTTGCAGCGCACACCTGGCTGTGAGGTGAGCCCACATGCAGCCCCTTGGCTTGTATGTTCCCTTTCCAATCTGCTTAGCCTATTTAGGTGGCAGTGTTGCAGGGTGTGTAGCATTGCACTGTTGCATCTGTGGCTAAAACTGGGTGGTGCTCACCCTGTCCTCCAGCAGTGAAAGTGGTGCTCTATTGGAAGGAGCCAGAGGAAGAAAGGATCTGTGGGCACTTCAAGTGTCGCGAAGGAAAACGTAGCTCTGCTTTTGCACAGTGCTCAAGGAAAGGCCTTTCCTGGGTTTTAGTAATGGGAGTGCAGGCTTGATTGTAATGATCCCCTTTTCACCTTGCTACCCAGAGCTTCACCTATGTACATATCTCTCAGCCTTCCTGCTCTCTGTGATACTAAACAGACTTGAAGAAAGCTAGTGCCTGGGATCAGGCATGTGATACTGCAGAATCATCTTGTGTCATGAGTATTGCCCGTGAAGCCTTGCTCTGGGTTTCTCCTTTCTGTATGCCTTCCAGTAGGTTTCCCTGATTAGCTGTGTGACAAAATTGAGATTGAGCGTGAGGAAGCTGATCCTCAGTTTCTTTTTTTCCTTTTTTCCTTCTCCTTTCCAGAGGAGAATGTTTTCTGCACCAACAACTTAGCAACCATCAGGAGCAGCAGCAGTAGCAGTGAATGCCTGACCAAAGCCCTGGGGGTCAGCAGTGAAGGCTCACTGGAGAGCAATGAGGTGGGGATGTCCATTTTCCTTTCTCTGCCTTCAGCGTGGCTGATGCTCTTGCCCTTCTTTCAACTGCTATTACCCTACGTCCACAGGAGACTGTAGTAGCAGGCTAGATGAAGGAAGGCAGTGCTGCAGAGACAAAAAAAAAAAAATCTGTTTCTGTATGTGAAATTGGCTACTAGTCTGAGAGATCAAACAAGCCAACTCTGTGTGGTCACTCTGGAGTCCTTGATGGTCAGTAACTTTTAAGTACTCTCTTCACCAGCTTTGGAGCTCTTTCTCAAATGCCATCTAGCTAGCAGGCTAGAAGGGACATTCTCTGCTAGAGCTCGGACCAGTTCTTTAGCTTGGTCAGAAGGCAAACAGTATCATGAGGTTTAGAGAAGTACAGCAACACCATACTGGCATTTCTGAAGTATCAGCAGGGGGAAAGAGGCAGGAAGTCATTCAGTGATTCAAGTTGCAGCTCACGTTTTAAAGCCAGCTCTGCATTTGTTATAGGCAAGTATACAGCAAAGGGTAATATAGCTGGGCATGATTGCAAGTCCTCTGTTTCTTGAGGTGCTTCTCACAGAAGAAAACTCGCTGCGTTGTATTGGTTCAGGGAGAATTCAGTGTTGCTCTGGGCTTCAGCGTGCAGCTTCCAAGGCTGATGTTCACAGAATCACAGAATGGTTGAGGTTGGAAGGGACCTTCAGAGATCACCTAGTCTAACCCCCCTGCTCCAGAAGGGTCACCTAGAGCACGTTGCCCGGGATTGTGTCCAGACAGCTTTTGAATAGCTCCAAGGAAGGAGACTCCACAACCTCTGGGCAACCTGTTCTAGTGCTCCGTCACCCTCACAGGAAAAACGTTTTTCCTCATGTTCAGAAGGAATTTACCTTTTTTTTCAGTTTGTGCCTGTTGCCTCTCATCTTACCACTGGGCGCCACGGAGAAGAGTCTGGCCCCATCCTCTTTACTCCCTCTCTTCAGATACTTATATATGTGAGAAGATTTCTTCTTCCTCCCCCTCAAGTCTTCTCTTCTCCAGGCTGACTAGGACCAGCTCCCTCAGCCTTTCCTCATAGGAGAGATGCTCCAGTCTCTTAATCATCTTAGTAGCCCTTTGCTAGACTCCCTCCAGTAGCTCCATGTCTCTCTTGTACTGGGGAGCCCAGAACTGGACCCAGTACTCCAGATGTGACCTCACCAGGGCTGAATAGAGGGGGAGGACCACCTCCCTCGACCTGCTGGCAACACTCTGAATAGGTTGCAAGAGCCAGACCCCATTCGAGACCAGTCACGCTGTGTCAAGCTGCAATTTTGGAGCTGTTTGACTCATCCCTTCCTGATAAAGAATTTGCTAGTCTTCAGTGCATGTGTTTGTGGGCCGCTGCCTGGATTTAGCAATTGGGAGTTGAATGAGCCTGCCCTCTCTCTTCTCTTTCACCGCTTTATTACATATAGTGGCGTCTTTACACAATCCTCCTTTACCTTTAAATTTCCTGGGATGATTTTTATTTTTCAGGATTCTGACCATGCAAATAGTCCTCCTAGTCGGAAACAAGCCAAAGGTTTTAAGATCAAGAACCGCTATGCTGGTGATAGTCAGTGGACCCACTGCCCTGGGAAAGCTGGAAGCTCTAGTCAACCCTTCATCCTTCCAGAGCCCCCTGTGTATACAGGACCCCAGGTAACTTAAGGACAGAGAGCTTCTCTGAAGTAGTGCAGGCCATGTCACTGTATCATGCTCTGAAGGTGTCCAAGTTTCGTTTTTGGCTTTATCGGGTAAAAGGAAATTTGCCACCAAAATGTCTTTGATGCCAAACCTCTTCCCAGCTCAGATGCTTGTGGAACAGTGACCTCTTCTACAAAGAGCCACTTGCTTAGGTGTTGCTGTTGCTCTGAGGGTTATTCCAGAACTTTCAGATCTGTGAGCATACTACCAAACATGGCTGTGGTGGGAAGCGTTGGTATATCTGTCTTCTCTGCATTAGGTACAAGATGCAATGGCTGCAGCACATAGGCTAGTCCTGTTGCATTGTGTGGCTCCAGAGAAGTGCAGTTACACAGGGAAGTTAGGATTGCTACTAAAACCAAGGAAGGCGTAACACCAACATGAAGAAGCAGGTGTTTATGATGAGCAGGAAAATCTGAGGAAATAAATAAGTTTATTTTGGATGGGTTGCAGGACCTGGCAACGTTTCTTGAGCAGATTGGGTGCCTGAAGTATCTGCAAGTGTTTGAGGAGCAAGATGTTGACCTCAGGATCTTCTTGACTCTTACAGAGAGTGACCTGAAGGAAATAGGCATCACGTGAGTGTCTAAATGTAATTCTCACGTTTCCCCTTACAATTCTCAGTTTCTCCCTCAGAAACAGCGTGCACAGCATAATCAGGAAAGTTTAGCTGGTGAGCACTTCTCTGTCCTGGCCCTGTCTCCCACACAACATTGAAATCCCTTAGTCATTGGCTGCAGCAGGGTTCTGCTGTTGGGAGTGCCTTGGAGGAGCCTGTAGGCTGCAGAGGTCCTCATGGCATCCCCTTGGGCCAGGGGCTAAATGGTGAAGTGTTTGCCATTGTCCCACTAGTTTGTTTGGACCCAAGAGGAAGATGACTTCTGCCATTGCCCGATGGCACAGCAACGCTCGGCCCCCTAGTGATGCCCTGGAGCTGGCCTACGCGGATCGGCTGGAGGCTGAGATGCAGGAACTGGCCATTCAATTGCACAAGGTAAGAAGCCTGCCACGAGCTGCTCAATGGCTAATTGCCTTACAGTAAGTGATTGGCAGCACATTGTTACATTATGCCTCTAATGGGTTGGGATAAAGGAACAGATGTAACTTTCAATGGATGCATCGAGTGTCGAGTAGATCAAGTAATCCCATCAGTGCAGATCATCTAGTCCTCATCCTATGTGTTTGCAAAACCTTTACATCTGTAGTTCTGTAGTTCCCATCCACTTGGGAACTGAAGGGTTGGGGGCGGGGGAGGAGTGTTAAAGCCTCTGCTTTTTCTGGCAGTGTGTGTGGGTTTTTTTGTTTGTTTTTGTTTTTTACTGTGAAGTTGTAAACCATTAGTGAACCAACTTCCATTGATTTGGGAAATTGGCTCTTCAGAGTATCTTTACAAGTGGAGAGAAAGCAGAATCGTAACTGTGGGGCTGGTCTTGGTGTGAGGTAAATCTGCATTCAGTGTGAAGCTCGGCCAGCTTCTTTCCCCCTGGGTTGGGCAGACTTTTGCAGGAACCCTGTGACTGCCTAAACCATTAAAATAGCAGAGACTCCAGGGAAGTTTCGGAGCAGGCATGTGAAAGGGTGATATACAGCACTCCCAGCCTAGTTCCTGTTCTGCTCTGCCCTGCTGTAGAGGTGTGAAGAGGTGGAGGTGATGAAGGGCCAGGTGTGCCAGGAGCAGAAGCTGCGTGCAGTGGCCGAGAGCTGTTTGATGGAGCGGGATGAGACCTTGAATGATGTCCAGTGCCAGCTCAGAGAGGTTCAAGCTATCACCAAGGATGCTGGGGTCCTACTGGATCAGATCAAGTAAGTCATTCTGAGGAAATGGCACTGAAGCTACTGGAAACTCGGCATGTAGGCTGTGCAGAGATCAGAAGTGATAGTGGCACTCCTGTGGGTGACTCTTAAGGTAAGGCAGGAGAGCTTACCAGGCATCTGAATCCGTTCTGGATCCTTCCTGACAGTCTCTATTGGGAAGCCAAAGCCATGTGAGCAGATCTGAAGCTCTCATCTGATGCATGAGTGAAAAAGCACCTGTTTTTTTCAAAGGTGCCAAGTGCCTTGTTTCAACTAGAAGGTAAAGGCACTCAGCTCCTTGACATGAGCATATAGGGACCAGCTTCAGGGTGTATCTTGGTGCTCAGGCGGATGCGGGATGGGGTTTTTAACTTCTAGATAGTATCAAAGGGCTAGCAGTGTCCTGCCCTGGCTAGTGAAGGGCTCTTTGCTAGCAGCTCGAATGGCACCTGACAGAAAAACCTGCTCTGTTTGTGCCCACCACTGCCTTAGTTTTCTCTTCTTACACCCCCTAATCTGTTCTTCGTTGTGCTTATGGTCCTTTTCTCCCTGCCCCGGTTGGATTATCCTTCTGTCCTGGGCCCTTTTCTATCCAGTTACAGGGCTGACGTGTCCTTGAAGCTGGCATTAGTCCTACTGCTATAGTTCCTGGTCCAGCAGAAGGATGGGATCAGCTCACTTCTGAGCCAGGGTAAATTGAGATTTCCTTGCAGAAGGGCAGCAAAGTAATCTTCTCTTTGTCCTGACTGAAGCTGAGGCTGTCTGGTAGAAGGATCCTGTAATGCTCTGAGGCTGCACTGCTTGAACCGATGATGTGACGTTAGTCAGACAACGTTATCCATGGCCCTTTTTCTTTAACCTGATGCCTATCCTGGGCTAGCTTCACTTAGCCCTTTAGAAACCTTGGATAAGGCTTGATTCTCATGCAAACTGGGCATGGTCCCTGGCTTAGGCTTTCTCCTGCTCAACCCCCCCCCTCCTTCTCTTCTCCCCCCGCAGCTCCTCTGTGGACAGGGGCAGAGATTGCTGTGGAGATGGGGCACAGTGGAGAGCGCCCTGAGCTTTGTCTGGGGCACGTCTTCCTCTTCCTGGGAAGGAACAAGGAGCAGTTTGTAACCCAGGGCGTTAGATGCGGTCCCTCGGCACCCCAAGCAGGTACTTGCAGGATGTAGGAGGGCAGAGCCTGGCATGTTGTTCTTAGAAGTGCCCCTGTGCACTTCTAATGGTCTTTGTCTTGTTTGGCAGATCCTGTCAGGCAGAGCTGTCCTCCCGGCTAACCCAAGAGCAGGCAGTTGGCAGAGTGCTGGACACAAAGGTGCAGCTTGGAACCGGTGAGAGCAGGCGGCTTGGTGAGAATCGAGTGCTGCATCTGGGGAAGGAAGAGCTTATCAGACTATGGGGATGTGTGCAGGGGCTGAATAAACAACAGGAGACCCCAGAGCAGACACGTGCTTGTACCTTATGCTGCTGAGAGGATAATATTAGAAGTGATTTGGAAATGGCTGAGCTGCCAAACCCTCAAATTCAATGTAAAAAGGCCTTGATCAGGGAAAATGTCTGGAAGCATCCAGGGCCTTTGGACTTTCACTGTGGCAGAGTTTCTCTGAAACTTTTTTCCTAAGAAAATTCTGGGATCTGGCAGGTATGTCTGTGTCTAAAAATGCAAGGCTGTAGCACAGACACTCAATAGCAGTCCTGCTTCACAGGCCTGCACCTTCCCCTTCCTGTGCTGCAGTATGTGGGCTCCTCAGAGGTGTTATCACACTGTTCTCTGCAGCAAAGTTTGAATCGGAAATTCCAGTAGGTTCCCTGGCCCAGGCTGGGGGACTGTATGGTTAATGAGACAATGCAAACTACTATATACAGCTAGGTAGAGGTGGCCCACTGCATCTCTGTTGCAAAGAGTTAGCAAATGATCCTGTTGCAAGCTTTCAGATGCAATGTGGTTCACTGCTTGTGTTTGAGACACGTGGAGATCCTGGTGTTTCCTGTCCGCTACCTTTAATCCCTTTGTGAGTCACTTAATGTGTGACCTGGCCAGAAGGAGAGAGGAAAAGCTGGGGGAAGAATCCAAGCATGTGAGCTTAATTCTCTTAAATGATGGAATTGTCAGAAAAAGGAACTCTGTTCCTATTACAGATTATTCCGGCTCTCTCAGCATGCAGTACAGAACCCAATTTGGGTGCGGACATGGTCAGAGTGACACCAAACCCTCGTTTCCACTTTGTGACAGGGAACATGCAAACTGATAAATATGTGGTTTCTCTTTCTTGAAGGGCTAAAAGGATGGCCGCCTTCCTTGAAGTCTCTGAGCTTGCCTGAGCTGTCAGCTGTCTTAGAAGAGTGTGTGGGAGAAATGGGTAAGGTGGGGGGGAACTCTGGTCACATGAAGTGCCTGCTGTGCTAGAGGAGGGGCATGGCTGGGCAGGCTTTTGATGGCAGTGGCAGGCTGGAGGGAACTAATCCTCCTCCATCATGTTCAGGGAAGTCTCCAGGCACTGAAGCTGGTGCTGGCATTTTCTTGCATTTCTTCTCTGCTGCCGCAGTAGATCCTGTTGTGTTTCTGTGGGACAAATTCCTAGGAAGAGCCTCTTCTGTCTCCTCCTGCATCTTTTCCTTCCCTGTTGTGTTGCAGAAGTTCTGGCTCTCCTGTTAAGGTGTGAATGCTGTTCTGTGCTCTACCCCAGTGCTGTGTTCCCTGTACTCTGCCAGTCCAGCTCAACAACAGCTTTCCTTGGACTGAGCCCAGTCACTGCTCTCCCTGTTGTCCTAGCAGTCTGATCTCCAAGGGTACAAAAGCACTTAGATTCCCTTGGTTCCACTTCTTTGCAGACGCGTTCTCCATGTCTGCAGGCTCCCAACATGGTGGTTGCAGGACTGTATTATGGTATGCTCTTCTCTGAGAGATGCAAGGTGCTGGGAATGCTGTCACTGCTGAGCATAAAGCAACTGCTGATGCCTGGACCTTGGATGGTTGCATTTACCTTGCTGAGAGGATGGGTGTTAGCCAAGAGTAAGGATTTATTGCAGCTTTCTCTGGAGCAAGCCCAGTAGCGCTGTACTGCCAAGCTGTAACGTCAGTATAACTTCTTGTTACACCCTGTGGCTAGATGGTTATGGGCCCAAGCTGCAGCAGAGGGACAAGTCTCCAGCTCTCCCTTGCACAAGGGTACTGCAGTTCCCTGTGCTGAGCTGCACAGGAGATGGGGAATGTGGGCCCTGTTTCCAGCTGCCCAACAGCTCAGGAGCCCTAGTCCCTTCCCCACTTCCCAGCCAGAAATATCCAGTTCCCTGGTCACTGAGTAGGCATCTTTCTCGCTGCAGAGCTTGGGCTCTACCTTGTCCTCTGACAGAACCAGGCTAAAAGAAGGGGATATATGTCTCCCCACCTGTGCCTAGCTACTATCCTCTTGCTCAGTTATTAGAGCTGCTTGTAAGTTGGCTTCCAGTGCCTGTGCCTTGTTCTCCTGATGGCAGGAACTTATCCCAGCAACAGGCAGGCCAAGAGGCTGTTCCAGGGGCACTGGAAGCTGCAAGGAAGAGAGCAGTGTGAGAGGCATGAGAACAGCAACTGAATGCAGTCTGCAGCCTGTTTTTTGCTACTTGTTGGTCTGTTGGTGCTAATGACTTTTTTCCTTTTGGCTTGTCCTCAGGAAAAGCTCTGCAGACTGTGACTCAAAACCTCCAAAGGCTTCAAGCCCCAGGGCAGGGCGGGCAGAGGTGGCTAGAGCCATAACGAAGCAGGATGGTGAGTGGGAAGTACTGACAGCTATGGAGGGCTATGGAATAGAGGGGGCATTGTTGCTCCCAGCAGGTAACAGCCATCTGCTGCTTGTGCTCTGTCGTAGCTTTCACAGCTGAGGCTCCTCTCTAAGCAGTCCTAAGCATGTGCCCTTTGACTGGCTTTCCCTGTGGAAAAACCCTACCCCCTTCTCCCCCTGTCCCAGTGAAAGGATAACTGTCCTGTGTTTCCTCATGGCTGCAGGAATACTGACGTCGGGTGACTGTTCCACCCGGAAGCTGAGTGTGCCTGGGAAAATGAGCGTGAGGGCTGTGCTGGCAGTACCGCAGCTTGGCTGAGAGTGCTGCAACGGCTGACAGATACGTGGAAGAAGGTCTCAGCCATTGGAGAACGTCCCTGGGAGAACAAGGGACAGCAGAGGACAAGAACCCGACAGCTCTATGGGCCTCACTGTTGTCTGGGTTCAAAGGACTGTGGTGTTCATACCAAAAGGGTAGGTTAAGAGGAGAAGCACTGAGCTGGGAGGGTTTATCTGCCTTAAGCTTCCTGCAGCAATCAGGTTACCCTTCTCTGTATCCCATCCTCCCCAAGACCCCTGACACCTGCACCTCCTGTGACATGTGAATTCGTAGTTGTCCGGGAGCTGACCCCAAAAACGTCTAAATCGATAAGGAGGGCAGGCTTCTGGTGAGTGTGTATAGTGAATAGTTAGTAGTGTCTGTTGATTTATTGAGCTGCCCGGTTTTTGCAGCCCTAGTCTCTAGCTGGCATATCTTTCCTATTGCCATCCCAGATCTGTCCTTCAAAACCTCTCCCTCCTCCCAGCCCACCCTGGTTCAGTCCAGATTTTTGCCCCCTTCAGGAGTTGTTTGTGATCATGTTCTTCAGCCCCAAATAACTTGTTTTTATGGCAAATGCCTAATGGCAGAGACCCTGGCATTCAGATTTCAGTGCCAAGATCCCAACACTGAGAGCAGTTGCAAGGCAGATGTGCCCCTGGAAGGACACGAGAGAGAAGAAAGACTCCAGAGACTGTTCAGTCTCCCGTGCCTTTGGCAAGCAGCAGTGTGCCAAGGCAGGCAGAACAAGCATGAAGGATAGAGGTCTGTCCCCTGTGGGAGATGAGTAAAAAAAATCTCACATCTTGGATCTAGCTGCGGTGCAGAGCTTCAGTCCTCAACCACTGCCTGCCCTTGGATTCCAGGATCCAGTGTTTGGAAATAGATCTGCCAAGGCTTTCTTGTACCGGCAGTGTGGATGTTTTCAAAGGCAAACGTGCTGCAGGAAGAGGCTGGCTCCCCAAAGACTCCCCCATCTCTTGAAGGTGTGCAAGCAGCCATATGGGGACCAGTGACAGTAGTTAAAGCAAAATGGTTTCCAGCACTGTGCAATGATTCTCTGTTCTTGTATATTGCCAAGTCTTGTGGAGGAAAAAAAACCCTTAATTGAGAGTGGTGGGCTTCAGGACTCTGGAAAATTCCCCTTCTCTTTGCTGGGAGGGGGAAGAAACTGTTTTCCTTCTGATTTTTGGAGCTTGATCACTGATGCCAAAGTTTTTTAAAAAAAAAAAAAAAAAATCCATTCCAACTCCATCCTTGAAGCTGGAGTTAACCCTCCTGATCAGTGGCCCAGGACCATTTAGATGGGCTTGAAAGCTAATCTGTGTTTCATAAAAGTGACTTCTAGCTTGGTTGTCTCAATGGAAAGTTGTACCAGTGTTGCCTGGGGACAGCCTTGGGGCACTGAGGCAGATATGGCCCACTTCATAAGCTTGCCCTGCTGGCAGTTTGTGTGCACTGATCAGTGTGCTCAGCTGTGTGGCATTGCCTTATGCTTATGTTTGACTCTTAAACTTGAGGCCGAAAACTTGTTGTGTGTCATGTGTAGCAAATGAGTCAATGACAGGGGTGCGTGCATGTATGCATCTGCTGCCTAGCTGCACAGCAGGCAGTAGGACAAGGCTGCAGGAGCTTTCACTCTGACAAACTTTTTGCTGTGGCAGAGCTGATTCTCCTGAAGGCTTCAATTTTTGAGGCAGCAACGCCGAAAGCTCCTCAAGAGTATTGAGGACATGACTGTGCTGGGGCCAGTGTTCTGGGCTGTGTCCTCCATTCCCTGGTGCCAGAGGGAATGTGGGGAGAGCCAAGGCAGCGTGTACTCCCCTCTCCCCAGCTTTGGGGGTGTCTCTGGCTGCAGTAGCACAGCATTGTCAGTGCTGCTTCCCTTGGAAGTCCAGACTTGCAGTTAAGGCAAGGTGCCTGGAGGGAAAGGGGAGACTTTTTGTAGAGGCAAGAAATCAGTGGAAGGGCCTCATAGCATCTGAATAGCACAGCAGGCCCAGCCTGGTGATGCTTCAGTAGGGCTGGATAGGCTGTGCAAGAAATTGGGTGGCAGGAAGGAGAGATTGCACAGACTTGGGTCAGGGTCTTAGGGTGGAAGGAAGGGTTTTGGGCTGGGGGTGGAGGGATGGGACATCCTGAGGATTGTAATGCTTGGGGAACTGGGAATGGGGTACAGAGTGGGTGGGCCAGAGACTCAGTGGTGTAGATGTGAAGGAAGAAGGGGAGTCCCACAGAAAAGGTGCTGCAGGAGCCCCAACATAAAGGTTTAAGGGAGTTCCAGAGTAGCCCTACAGGGACATGGGGGACGGGGCGTTCATAAAACAGTGTTTCTTTAAGGAGGCAGTCCCTTAAATGCAGGATTTTAAAAGCATTCAGTGTTGAAAGGGTGGCTGTACAGGCAGCGGGGAGTGTGTGGTGCTGCTGTAAGTTGAGATGTCCTGCAGACTGTTAGCTGGCTAAATAAAATAGCATTTGCTGACTTGGAAAAAAATAAAAATCTGTTTCTGGTGCCTGGTCTGTAGACTTCCCTGGAGGGAGCCAGGGTTGTAGAATCGTGAATAACCTGACTGATTTATTTCAGGACAGTTGGAGATAAATACAGCTTTTTGCAGCTCTTTCCAGCTTCCTCTCCCCAGGTGCTCACATGCTGAAGGGTTCTGGGGCTTCCTTATCCATGGCTTACCTGTCCCTGCCTGGTTCCTGATGAAGGGGACACCCTTGCAGCATGAGCTGGATAGGTGATGTGGGAACTCACGTGGTCAGGCAGTGCCAGAGCTGCACAGGGGGAGTGTGTGTAGGTAATAAATCATGAGCTCCTCTGAGAGCTCAGCTCTTTCCTCCCTGTTTGGGAATTGTCTCTTCTTTTTTTTTTTTTTTTTTACCCCCAAAAGGCTCTAGATACCTGGCAAAGGTTATTGCCTCTACAGTAATTTAGAAATGAGCTTAGGCCTTGTTGAGTTATATGCTGGGATCTTGCTCTCAATTTGCAGTAGTGATTTTTGCATCTAGCTCTGGTCTGCGACTGTTGTGAGCTGTCAGTGTGGCCAAGCTCTTCCAGACCCTTGGCCAAAGTTTGATCCTTCACTGGAGGCAGGAGACAATTCAGCAGCTATTACAGAAAGCTTTAAATAGGGCAACAAAAACCATCAGTCTTTTTCTAGCTGAAACTAAAGCTGTTTGTATTTCAACACAAACTAAGCAGACTTGGGGCCTGGATTGGTGGGGATTGAGCAGAGTAGGCTGCACTATGAGCTTGCTCTCGCGATCTGTGAATCCCAGAGCAGCCTGACCCCTGCTGTCCAATGTGCAGGAAGGGTTCTCTGTGTCCATACTCAGTTTTGAAACTGCTGGGAAAGAACTGGAAGCAGCTTCCCCCTTACTGCCATGAGTCAGGGGTCCTTGGAGTTGAACTGTTACCCATCTCCTCTCCTCAGCTTCATCTTGTGCTGAGCAGCACTTCAGCAAAGAGCATATGGAAGCATGGAGGCCAGTGTTCATCAAAGGGACTAATCCTGATTTCAGGGAGAGGGCCAGCTTTCTCTTCTCAAGGCAGTAGTAGCACCCCCAAACACATACACTGGTGGTAGGCTGCTGGAGCTGGCAGCAGCCAGCAAAGAGCAGAGGAGCATCCAGAGAACAATCCAATTCATGTCAGGAGAAAATACGTGCTCTGTTTTGCACATGGCTCAGCCTGACATGATTGGGGTAGCCGTTTGTATTATTTATTGCAACCATGGAAGTGTTCTTTTTGTCACTTACCTCCTTGTTGTGTAAACTAAAATGTATTCCCAGGGAACAGAACTGTGTTCCAACAGTTACCCCAGGCTGTGGGTTCCATGTTTGCTACCCCTCTAACTGGAACTGTATATGCTTATGTGGCAAAGTGGGTATCGGTACCCTTGCATATGCTGGTGCCTTTACCTCACTGCCTGAGAGCTGTTTCCCTCCCTCAGAGGAGACAGAAGTGGTATGTACCATTTGCTTAAAAAAAAAAAAAAACCACCATTTATTTACATCTGAAAAGAGAGTTAATGTGCAAAATGGTCTCACAGGGATTATACTTATCCAGGAAAACTGCATGACTTGCTCTCCAGCCTTGAACCCAGTTGCAGCTGAGCCTGGCATGGTCACTTTCCTTCGTATGCTCAAGGCAATGCTCCTTAAGACATTGTCTTTACAAGATGCTTTCCCCCTGCCTGTAAGCCAAGGGGGCTGTGTGGGCAGCTTGCCTGGACCTGGAGAACTACCTATATCCACTTCTGTGTAATGGAGAGTCAGAGCTGCTTTCTCCTTCCTGATGATGGAGGTGTGGCCTTTTTGCAAGGTAAAATAAATTAATAGGGGCTGCAGTCTCAGCAGCACATTGCTACTGAAGGTAAGAGCAAGGCAGCGTGGACATCGTTGGCATCTGCTGCTGCACTCTTGGCTCTTATGGGAGAGCACCAGTATCAGTCCCGTGGGGAAGCTCTGCCTGACGCTGTTCTCCAGCAGGAGCCAGCAATGTTAAAGCAGAACACCGCTGCTTGAACTGCACGGGCTCAGGTGCTTTACTTCCAAAGGGAGAGACATGCACATGCTCTGAGCCATATGCACTGGAGAGAACTGCTTGCTGCTGGCTCTTCTGTGATTCTGATGCTCTGCATGGGGATGTCTGGGTACCTATTTCAGCCAGGATACCAAGGTGTGCCAGGGTGGTGGAGACCGGACTCTCCAGTGAGGCTCTGCAGTGTGCACCCCTTGTGAGCAGGGGTCTTTGCAGTGTTTCCCTCTCAGGATCAGTGGATTTGCTGAGAAAAGAGCTAGGAAGGGAGCCGGTTCAGGGCTTTGGGGTACAACTGCAGGAGGAGCTCAAGAGAATAGAGGACATGTGGTGTTTGGTGCAGCTAGAGAGGGCAGTGAGGAGGAGGGAGGCAGATGTTGAGGGGAAGTCATGTTCTGCCTCAATGATGAGGTGGTGAGAAGGTGCAGAAGCAGTACCTTCCTATAAAGAGCAGCTTTGCGGGAGGACTCTCAGTGGGACAGACATCTCGGAGTTCACAGAGCATTAGCAATACGGCCCTTGCTTTGGGGTAAGGCGAGCAGGAACATGATGCCCTGAATCGCAGCACTGCTGGCACAGCATTGCAGTTTTTCAGCTCTGAATGCAGTAGCAGCAAGAGATGCTTGTTAATCAGAAGGGTGGCAGCAGATGCTGTGCAGGAATGTCAGGGTCAAGCAGCATCACCGTGAGTCCCTGCTGCTTGCCCTCTGCTGATGGCCTGGCTCCATCTTCTGCTGCTGTGACCCTGCTCCTGCAGATGTCCAAGGCATCAGTGATGATGGGGAGGGGGGTCCTGGGTGCAGGGCTAGCGAATGCCAACAGAGGTAGTTTGTGGTGCTGTACGGTCAGGTCAGGCAGGGGTAGAAATCAGCAGGCTGGCCTCCTCCACATAGCTTACCTGCTCTGCAATGAAGCTCAAGCAAGGTGAGGTTCTTCTTAGAAGATGGCAATGTCTTATAAGAGCCCAGCGTGTCCATCTCAGCCCTGGACTGCAGCAGAGGGAATCTTCCCTCTGGCAGCTCCACTGCTCTCGGCTGCAGCACAGCTTTGGAAACTGCTCCTACCCCGGCCCTTCCTGTACATGCTGCTGCACAGTTTCCTTAGGGCTTGGGCCCTGCTTCCAGGTCCTCAGCGCAGCTGGGACACAGGCTCCCCTGTGTGCTCCTTTGCAGACAACAGAGGTGCAGTACCAGAGCAAGCTTCAGGGCAGCTCCCACCCTGGTGGTTGTGACGCTCGCAGCCCCCGTGTCCTCTTGCTCTCCAGGGTGGGTCACTGCAGCTGTGCTGTGCTGCGCTGCCATCACTGGGTGCAGCAGAGCGCTGGGTGGTCGAGCTTCCAGAGCTGCCACTTCTTCTTCATTTCTGACTTCACCTAGCAAGGAGATGAAATGCCACAGAGGTTTTTCCCTGGTAGTGTCCTGTCACGCTTCCCACCTGCTGCTGTAGGCACAGGCAAGGCTGAAGTTGGGATCCTCTGGGACACTAGAGGTGTTTGGGGGCCTAGCTGGGTCCATGTGCTTTGGAGGAGCATCTTCCCTCCCCACAAACCAGTCAGCACTTGAGGCAAGTTTGCATAGCCTGCAGCTGGCAGGACACAAGCCTAGCCTAGTTCCCAGCACAATTCATCAATAAAGCCAAGGCTCAAGGAAACCTCCCATCTCTGGCCTTACTGGTTTCTGGCACCACAAACAAGTGCGGTGGCAAAGAGGTCAGGCTCTGTACAGGCATGCAACCTCCAGAGGCAGCTGGGCTGAGCATGTAGCACAGCCTAGCACCACTGCCTCAGCCTGGCCACCTCTGCAAGCCCTCCTGTCTGATGTTAGGGGAAGGAAGAGCCGTAAGGCTCTTACAGCATTTTTGCCCTCATGCAGTGACTGGTTTCAGACCCTGCCACGCCATGGCCAAGGAGAGGCTCGGATGTGAGACCATGTATTTTCTGCTCCAGCTCTGGCTGCGCTACATGGTTAGCACGCTACTGCAGTGCTGTGGGTCAAGAGAGGGAGCACAAACTCTAGGTAGAAGTGGGTTGGCTGTTAGGCAGAGCTAGTAGAGGCGGTACGTACCTCCTTATTGGCAAAGCAATACAGCACAGCCACCAGGAAGCCCTGAGGAGAGAACAAGAGCCCAGCGTGAGCCTGACACCACCACCGGCCTCGCGCTGGCTGGTGCATTCAGTGGCCCTGGGAGCTGCAGTGCGTTTTGTCTCATGAGGCTGTTTCTGGATGCAGGTCACCCTGCCTTCACTGCCCACGCTAGCCTGGGCATAGTGCAAGCGGGCACTTGCACATCAGCTTCTCTGTTGGCATCAAGCAGATGGTGACAGTGCTACTGGTTTTGCTGCTGGCTGTAGGGCTGCTGAAGTGGTGACCACTCCACTATGGAGCTCAGCCAGGGGGCAGTGCATGGCAGAGTTTTTGCTCCATGGTGCCTGGGAAGGCTGTGAGCAAGGTTGGGACCTGTGTTCTCCCACCGCTAGATCAGGTAGGCTGGCGCTGGGACAGGAAGCCATGACCAGAGCCTGGGTCACGTACCCTTTGCTGGGCCACACAAGGGTGAGATGGACGAACTTAGTGCATGCAGCCTGGAATTGGCATGGCACTGATGCCCTGGGCCATGAACCCGGCCCAGTGCAGGGGTTTGGGGCTACGCAGTCAGACAAGGGGCAGTGGTGGGCACCACCAGGCTGGCAAAGGGCAGAAAAAAGGGCCTCCCCTCCCCAAATGGGCTACGTGCTGTTGCACACCTCACCTGGAAGGAGTTGAGGAAGAGGGTGAAGAACACCTTGATGTAGCGCAGGATGCCTGTGGTTTGCTCATCGGTGGCAAAGATGAAGACTACCTCGTGGATCCCAAAGAGGGGGATGAGGGTCAGCGTGGCTTTGGCCAGCCTGAAAGAACATAAGGGGGGGGGGCCCTCTGGCTGTGAGTACTAAAGCGTTGGGGTAGGCTTGCAAAGCGCACCGCAGGGACAGCTTGTTAATTAACATCAGGATGGTCATCTAACGACATTACAGAACTGAGGAGGAGATGGGACCGTGGAAGGTGGCATGGCCTGGGCAGCACCCCCTCCCTCCCTGTGTGCTCACCACCCCCTCCAGCTCACCGCAGCTTGTAGTCTGCGTAGCCCTTCTGGTTGGCACGGAGCTTGGCCAGGATCACCTTGAGGATCCGCATGAAGATCAGCAGGTTGATCTGGGGGGAGACAGTGGTAGCACAGGAGAGCCCTGCCCAGGGGCAGCTATACGCTGGTGTCCCCCCACCTCGCAGCCCATCCTTGCACCCCCTCCAGGGGCCACAGGCTGCCGTGCTCTGGGGGGAAGGCAGCTGTGCCCACCCACCAGTGAAGGCGAGCTGCCTGGACTTGCAGATACCCACAGCCAGCTGCACAGCCCAACAGTGCTGGGGCCCCAGGGCCCAAAATCCAGGTCGGGAAGCAGCAGGGCCTGCATCCAGGACCCTTCCCTCAGGCTGAGCCCCCTGCACTGACCCGTGGGGCCTGCAGACCTCCTTTTCTCCATGTCCCTGAGGTTACAAGAGGGAAAATGAGCAATTCTGTGCAAAAAAAAAAGTGTGCAATTAGCACAGGGCCTTTGAAGTGGAGCCATTGTGCAGTGGGCACTGGGCTGGCTGGAAGGATGGCGATGCCTCTCCAAGGGGG